TTTTCAATTTGAAATTAAATTTGTTTGAATGATTGTAAGAAATGTACGTTTACATACCTTTAGCTGTAGCTGAGTTTGCAGAGGTGCTCGCTGTTATTTCTTAGATTCCAGACGGTCCCAAGATGTTAAAACAAATTTTGGGGGTGGGGATTTAGTTCATATCGGACTAGTTCGTTTTTGGCGATAAAGACCTAGTACGGAACTAGAAATTTGATTCACTAGTCCGCGGTTTCCCTGCAGGGTACATATGCACTTATGTACATACATACATACATAGTATACATATGTACAAAAAAATATATGCTGATCTGATTGACAGTTGGAAATGCTCTTGAACAAGCAACAATTGCGTTCGATTTCAAATAAGTAAATACATTTTGCGGAATAACAAATGGAAGAACGTACGTAAATCGGTGTACAAAAGATAAACGGCGAGACTTTGCAGCGCACATAAAATGTACAGTTTCACTTCTTCGAAAATTTTACTTTGGCTTTTATTAAATTTTACCATACTACATATCTACATATCGAGCCCTAACCGCCAAAAAAACGTCAGCGACACATTTTTTTTTAATTTTCTTTTTGATGCAGAAATGCAGCTAGATGCTCTAGGAGTATTTCTGCATCAAAAAGAAAATTTTTGAAAAAAATGTCGCTTACCTTATTGTGGCGGATAGGGCTCGATATGTATGTACATTAGATCGTACCAAGGTGTATTAAACAAGGTGCGATTGACAACTCAGGTAGGCTCTCTTTTAAGGTACTATTATGCCAAAAATATATAAACAATCGATTCAAAATTCATACAAAATTTTTTAAATTTGACTTTATAGGATGGTTCTTCTGAGAGCAATGTCCAATCACACTTTGTTGAATACATTTTGGATCGTACAAGAAAAACCAGTTCGCCATACACTCCTGAGTCTGAAGTATTTTTGAAAGACAATTTGAAAAAAAAAATATGCGTATATGCATATATTTTTTTGCCGAACGTAGGGGTAGGGTCACCTTTTTCCAACAAAAAAAGTAAGTGCGTCTGGGTCACACTGGAGAAGTGAAACTTACGTTATATATCTATTTTATCTCATAACCAATATACATACATACACACATCTGCATTTGCTTAAGGTTATATTTTTTGTCTTTTTTTTATCTAGAAGCTTACCTCTACTTCTGCACGTTCTAACTACATTTATTTTATTCTGTTTTCCTTTATCTTCATTTTTATCCCTATACTCTATCGATAACAAAATTCGCTAAAAATTTCGATAGAAAAATCGATAATAATATTGGTAGCAAAATCGATTAGAAAATCTATAACAAAATCGATAGAAATATCGATACAAAATCGATAAACAGTCGGTAACAAAAATCGATTAGAAATATCCATAACAAATCAATGAAAATGGCGATAATAAAATCGATAAGTAATCGATAACAACATCGATACAAAATCGATGACAATTTGGATAACAATTTCGATAGCAAAATCGTTAATAATAATGGTAGCAAAATCGATTAGAAAATCGATAAAAATATCGATAACAAAATCGATAAGCAATCGATAGCAAAATCGATAACACAGTCTATAAATAATCGATAACAAAATCGATAAATAATCGATAACTAAACCGATAAAAATGTCGATTATGATATCGATAAGTCCCGAGAATCCCGAAAAACTCTATAATCCCAAAATAATTCCCAGGTCTCTGTGTCTCTATCTATATCCTTTTCTCTATATGTAGTTACCCTTATTTTAATCTTTCTTCCCCTATCTTCATCTTTTCTTTTATCGTATTTATATTTGTTTTTACTTTTATGTTTATCATTTTCTTCATCTACATATTCCCCTTCACCTTTGCCCCTATATAAGTAAAGTGTTTAAATTTACTTTGGTCTTTAATTTTGTCTTTATCTTTACGCATCTTTGTTTTTGCTTTTATTTTTACCTTTGCCTTTATCCTTTTCTTTATCTATGTACGTACTAACCTTTACTTTCATTCTTGTATTAGTCTTTTTCTAAGTGTTATTCTTTAACCTTTTATTAGTAAGTTTTTGTTAAATTAAAAACATACATTCAAGAAGCACTTGTTTCCGTCCCAACCATTTCCGTTGCACAATTTCCGTTGAATTTTCCAATTTACTCCCAACCAGCCAACCGCCGCTACAGAAGTTTCACTTCAAAAAGATTAACAACTACGATTGTACTAAAAGATGCATTCCAATGTAAGCGATGCGTAGTTTTGAAGCCACAAACAAAACAACAGGTTTGAAAACTAACTCAAGTATGTTTTTTTTCACATTATCTCAACAGCTGCTATAGCCGAATGGATGCGTGTACGACTGCCGTGTTGTTGGTGACAGGTTCAAAACCTGCGGCACGGACTTTATTTTTATTATATGTTTGTATTTATAGTTTCGTATGGCGGCATGCGACACATTACATTCGTATTACATCGCTGTGGAGAAATTCTTTCATCTTTCCGTGCGTAGGTTATAGCGGATATCCGTTACTTTTTGCATTCCCCGGCATTACCTTTTCCCACTGGGGTGGTACGATCTAAAGTACATACATACGTATGTATGTATACATATAAACACATACATGTGTGTTTACTTACTTAAGCACATGCCTCACTTATTAACAATTCATTTAAATATCCCCATAAAAGAAATCTAGCATTCTTAAAAATTTTGCATTGAAGCTATCCAATCTTTTAATTAAAATAGCTTAGATTAAATGAACTTTTTATCTAAGTGGTCACCCACACTTGTATTAATATATTACTCGTTAATAATCTCTGACTAAGAGTACAAAGTTCTCTATTCAATACTCACATTAACTTTTAGGTATTAAAATAATTTTTGGGCGCTCTTTAATAAAAGAAAGCATGCTAAATAACCGTTCAATGTCTTAACTGGACATTCAAAAAACCCCATTTCATTCCCAACTTACATAATAAGTATTGTTTATCAATTGGCACTTCGATTATCGACATAAATTATTTATTAGCCATTTATAAGTACAGATATGTACATACATATGTGTTTTTAGACGTGCGTATTTATTACCGTTAACTAACATTGTGCCGGTAACAAAAAAAAAAAGCATAAACTAGTCATTACCCAGCAAACATTTGGAGTCATAAATGAGACTTTAAGATGTCCTATTTCGGAGCCTTTTCGCTCATAATGAGCTCATCTGCCTCATGAGCTCATGCCTCTGAAGGTCGACTTATATGAGCTTAAATTCATACATCAAATGAGCTACAATATATGTCATATTGGACTCTTTCTTGGCCTCATACATGACTCAGTCACACATTTTTTGTTTTTAAAGGCATATTTCAAATATTCTAAACGCTAAGAATGTGTTTGCGGGGTAGAACTATTGCCAAGCTATGTATATATATATACATACATACGTACTTGAATATATCAATTGGTAATCCATGCGATGATTTCAGAATATTTGCGTGTATCTTCTTCTTGTTGAATCCACATTCCTCCAAATCAAAATCTCTAAATTCGGACCAAAAAACGTCTTTGATCAGGGCGCTATGGCGCTGAGAATTGACGGTACCAGCGCACAGTGCTTCAAAATTGACATTTTGAGTTCACAATTCACTGGAGCCTTAGTTTTTCACTAAAATTCGGCAGGCAATGGCAAACCTCCGAGTGTATTTCTGCCATGAAAAACAGCTTCTCATAAAAATACAATCGCCGTTCGGAGTCGGCGTAAAACAGTAGGTCCCTCCGCTTTGTGTGACAACATCGACGCGCACGCCACAAGTCGGAGGAGAAGCTCGGCCAAACACTAAGATATGTGTAAGCGCCAATCTATTATTATTATTATAGTTGAGTCTGATTTTTGAATTTTTGTTTGTTCCCAAGTGCGAAATAAATAACTCGTTATTTTGAAGAGATATTCATTTTATAGAATATTATTTCCTACTCCAAAGAGTTTAGCTTTAAGAAAATGCATTTTAAAATTAAAAGTCACTCATACGACCTGCCATCGAAGAAGTGATCTACGGTGTTTCAATGACTATTTATTAATATTTTTATAATGCTTATAATCGGCTTTGAAGTTTTAAGCACAGTTACTAAAGCAATTGCTATGCGAAGAGCTTTGTCATGAAAGTTTTGAGATGTGTGTTTTTTGTTAAAAGAGCCTCCCCCCATTCATTGACTTATTGAGCTGTGTCATCCTTAAATATTTTTCAAAGTGGACTATCGACACACCTACTGTGTCCACGATCACCTACATACTTCCTACCTTCCCTTGCTAATTCGTCGCTTTTGCAATTATATGACATGTTCCGAAAATTTAATACTTATAAGATTTATTAAACCAATTTTTACCTTTTTCAGCGACTCAGCAAATCGTCCCAGAATGGAGCGTGGATTGCACGATCGCGATCGCGCGGGCGTACAAGATTTTGTGCTGCTCGAGAATATTCAAAGTGAAGAGGCATTCATTGGAAATTTACGCAAACGTTTTCAAGAAAATCTAATCTATGTAAGTGGGCAAATAGCCAGAATTACATATTTACTTAGCAATCGAAAATAAGCAAAATTTTTTTATGAATTGCAATGAAAACACAGGCAAAAAAACATGCTGAATTATTACAATAATTGTGGTAATTAAGTTATTGTTGACTCTTTTGCCTTTTATTTTCAAATTATATAAATTAAAAAGAAAAAAAATTAAAATCTCTTCAGTTATTTGCAAATATTTTTTAATGTTACTCCATATGTGTGTGTTGTTTCTTTTTTCAATATTTTTCTTTCAGACTTATATTGGTCAAGTACTTATTTCAGTTAACCCTTATAAACAACTTCCAATCTATAGTGAAAATGATATCAAAGAGTATCGTAACAAACACTTCTATGAGATGCCGCCACACATGTAAGTAAATTTGGTTTTTTTGTTTTTTATCGCGGTTGTAAATTTTTGATATCAATCAAAAAATAATAAATATGTTCTTGGTACAATAATATCTACAATATAAGCGGCATTGAGACGATATATTTTTATGGGTTGTAGCTGGTTTTACAACCTACGGTGGCGGACAAACAAATAGGGGCACGACATTTTAACAAGTTTTAGCTATTTTTCTTTTTTTATTTAATACTTATTATTTTTTTTTTAAGTTTAGCTCACTATCTTACAAAAACCACGCAAGTCAAAATTCAAACATTGTACAAGATTTAAAAAAATGCAACGAATTTTAACAAATGCTCATCAAAGTTTCAAACTTGTTATTCAGAATGTTTTTTAGCTACAGTTTTGTAGCCCCTTAAATTTTATTATAATACAGTGCAAGTTCGAAGTAACTAGGACTTACCGTAGATTTTTGGCAATTTTTTTTTCTCCATATAAAAAAATTTTCGAACATGCTACACTTTCTATGGAAGAAAATGCGTTTCATCGTCAACGTGAGTCCTAGTTAATTCAAACTTGCACTTCATTATACTAATATTTAATGGGCTACAAAACTGCTTACCTAGACTTTTTTTATTCTTAATAAAAAGTTTTAAAATTTCATGAAGCTTTGTCGAACTTTCCTAATGTTTGTACAAAGTTTGAAATTTCATAAAAAAATAATAAACATTAAATAAACCAAAATAACTTGTTAATATGCCGCGTCCAAATTTATTTTCCCGCTACTGTACAATCCACAAAGTTCAAAAATCCTTTGCTGAAGATAAAGATTTGTTTGTCTTTCTAGTGAGGAAAAATAATGAACTCTTGGAATCGAATGCCAACTATAATAGTTATCTTGAGTCAAAAAATATTGTTTTACCTAATTTACCTTTTCTCTGTCCTTTTAACAGATTTGCCGTAACAGACAATGCTTTCCGCTCATTGATCGAAGAGAATAAAGGCCAATGTGTTTTAATTTCCGGTAAGCATGATTAAAAAGAATGAAAGCTAAGTATGTATTAAGATTAGCATAAACCATTTCATTTGGAGCTAAGCCGGGTACTTTGGTAATGTTATCAAAATAAGCGGTATGCCTACAAAGAACAAGGTTAACACTTAAGAAGCGCTAATTGAACAAAGAAATACTATCTCGCTTTCATTGATGTTCCCTCCTTAACACCATTACAAAATGCACTTAGTGTGGTAAACATCTGGTCCAAGGAATGTGGATTTAGTGTCAATCCTACCAAGACCAAGATGGTACTCTTTGCACGGAAGTATAAAATTCCTCAATTCCAATATCCAACCGTAAATCGAATAGAACTAACTCTCTCAACCGAGGTCAAATATCTTGAAATTATTCTGAGACAAGAAACTTGACTGGAAACGAAACATCGAAGAGCGCTCCAGGAAGGCAAATACGGGCCCGTGTGCCTGTAAGACGACTATAGACAAAAAATGGAGGATAAAACCACATACTTATGTATATAAAGCATAAACAGAGGCAGTTTTGATCCGGATCAACTCGAGGAATTAACTGCAGTTGATCCGGATTAAGTCCGAGTTAATCCGGATAAACGCTGCCGTCTGTTTAAGCTTTATACAGCTGTGTTAAGACCTATCCTCGTTTAAGGGGTCACCGTATAGTGATCTCTGTTAAACAAGACTTTGTCCAGAGCCAAGATGGAACGGATAGAGAGGACGGCTTCCATGCTTGTCACGGGAGCACTACCTATTACACCCACCAAATCTCTAGAAGTACAGTGGAACCGACTGCAGTGCTTTTAGGTTGAATGCGATCCAACCATGGAGAGACCTGAGGTTCGGACACGCAACGGTACTCGAAACCCTAAAGTATAACCTACGGGAAGAAAATTCGGTCATAATGAAGCAACTCAATAACACTTGTACTCTTTAATTAAAGAGCTTAGGTTAGGCTTTCCTGGTTTTTCGTGTCTATTTTTGTCAGTTCTTCCGTTAATAATAATAATAGATTGGCGCTTACACATATGTTAGTGTTTGGCCGAGCTTCTCCTCCGATTTGTGGTGTGCGCCTTGATGTTGTCACGCAAAGCGGAGGGACCTACAGTTTTACGCCGACTCCGAACGGCGATTGTATTTTTATGAGAAGCTGTTTTTCATGGCAGAAATACACTCGGAGGTTTGCTATTGCCTGCCGAGGGACGACCGCTATTAAGAAAAAACCTTTTTCTATATATTTTTGCGATGTTGCTTTGACCAAGGTTTGAACCCAGGTGCTGATGAGTGAAAGCGCGCACTGCTTACCACTACACCACAGCATGGATAATTTGACGATCTATGAAAACTTGGAATTTTTACCTAGGCCTCTTGGTACGTGCCGATCCTGGCACGGAGTGGACCCAAAAGAATTAGAGGATGAGAGGAAGAAAATGAACTCCAGTAAACGTATTCGCGTTGACGGAGGTACGTCCTGTCAGGAACAGGGTAACTGCAGACTGTTTCAAGCAGGTGAGGTCGCGATGTAGTAGGCAGCCGAAAGAGCTTCTTAAGGTGGTCCAGCGCCAAGTCTCGGTGCATACAGAAGTTCTAACAGGACTGTTCAATAGGAACTCATACGAGGACGATAAATTAAAATCTGGAATCAAAGAACTATCTAAGATGGACATCAACGCCTGTGAACCTTCATTTTAAGCAGGCACCTTTCTCATTATCTTACAGTCTTATGCATTCCACTCGCAGTTAGCATTAGGGAAAACATCTTTATACAAATAAATACAAAAATTGTATATATTGCTTTCAAAAGCTGGTAACAAAACTATGTGTTTGACCAATTATAAAAGCACACGTTTTTCTTGGCCAATGAAATTTGCAATAAATTTATGCTGATAAGATTCGTTCACCTGAAGCCTGGCTATAGATTTCAGCTAAGGAAATAAAATCGACATAAATTCTAATAAAAAATCACTTCAATGTCCGATAATTTGTTAACATTCCAAATACATATAAATATGTATGTATACGACTATGGGTAGATAAAGACTATACAAGAGTAATAATTATTATGAATTACGTGCCTAAATTTTTAGCTTCAAGTAAATATAATCATCCGCCATGATTATTGCTGTGAAACCCACTAGAAATTATGTTTTTCCAAACTCAGTAATAACCTTATCTTTTCGCAGGTGAGAGCGGTTCGGGTAAAACTGAGGCCTCCAAGAAGGTGCTGCAATATATCGCCGCCTGCTCTGGCCATCAATCGACTGTTGAGAGCGTCAAGGAGAAATTGCTGAAGAGTAATCCCGTACTGGAGGCATTCGGCAATGCAAAAACGAATCGGAATGTAAACTCTTCACGCTTCGGCAAATATATGGACATACAGTTTGACTACTCCGGCACACCAATTGGCGGACACATACTCAATTATTTGCTGGAAAAGTCGCGTGTTGTCAATCAAAATGCCGGCGAACGTAATTTTCACATCTTTTATCAACTCTTGGCTGGTGCTAGCGAAGAAGAGTTGAAACGGCTGCAGTTGAAGCGTTCATTGGATAGCTACTCTTACCTGAGTGATGGGGTGAGTGTGAGAATACAACCATTGTTTTTAATAAAAATACCTTTTATAAAAGCGAAAAACAACTTTTAATGCTTCTTAATTCCACTAGCAAAACGGCGTTGTTAAGTACATTGACGATGTTGCCGATTTCAACACCGTCAAACAGGCCATGAGTGTCATCGATTTCACGGATTCTGAGCAAAAAGATATATTCAGCATTATCGCAAGCGTTTTGCATTTAGGCAATGTGACTTTCAATGAAGCAGAAGGCGTTGCTAAGGTCTCCAAACCCGACGCCGTTGCAGCGGTGGCCCAATTGCTCGGCGTCAGTCAAAACGCACTCACCGATGCGCTCACGAATCGCACAATTGACGCACAAGGTGATGTCGTCACTTCGCCATTGAATCGCGAGCTGTCCGTTTATGCGCGCGATGCGCTAGCCAAGGCTATCTACGATCGCTTATTCACCTGGCTCGTACAACGTTTAAATCGCTCACTGCAGGCAAAGGATCTGCGTGATGCGCTGAACAATGTCATGGGTATTTTGGATATTTATGGCTTTGAAATTTTCAAGAAGAATAGCTTTGAACAATTCTGCATTAACTTCTGCAACGAGAAGCTGCAACAGTTGTTCATAGAGCTGACACTTAAATCCGAGCAAGATGAATATCAGCGCGAAGGCATTGAATGGGTGCCCGTTGAATATTTCGACAACAAGGTGATTTGCAATTTGATTGAAGAGAAGTACAAGGGCATCATTTCCATACTCGACGAAGAGTGCTTGCGCCCAGGCGAACCCACCGATATCACTTTCTTGGCAAAACTCACCGATAAGCTGGCTGCGCATCCGCACTACATTTGCCATGAGAAATCATCGACGTTGGTGCAGAAGACTATGGGACGCGATGAGTTCCGGTTGGTCCACTATGCTGGCGATGTCACTTATAATGTCAATGGCTTTCTGGACAAGAACAACGATCTGTTATTCAGAGACTTGAAGGAGACCATGAGTAGGGCGGGTAACGATATCATACGCTCTTGCTTCCCGGAGGGCGAGTACAAGAACAAAAAACGTCCAGATACTGCGATTACACAGTTCAGAAATTCATTGAACAACCTCATGGATATCCTTATGTGCAAAGAACCGTCCTACATACGCTGCATCAAGCCGAATGATCAGCAGCAGGCGGGCATCTTTGACGACGAATTGGTGTTGCATCAAGTGAAGTACTTGGGTCTGATGGAGAATTTGAGAGTACGTCGTGCGGGCTTCGCGTATCGCAGGTACATAGGTTGCCAATATGAATTACATACAGATTTTTTTGCAGAATGTTGTTTTAATGGGTTTAATATGAAAAGGAAAGAATATCGATAAATTTTCAAATTACATATAATATAGTGACTCGTCAACGATAAAAAAAATTCAGAAACACCAAAAATAACAACAATGAAATGATATTAATATCAATATTTATCGCAAATCGATGACGATAATAATAGGTAATCGATATAAATAGGATTTATAAGGCTAAAAGTACTATTTTGATTGAAAAAAAATATTTGCAACAAATCGATAACAGTATTAATCGGTAATCGATAACGAAAGTATAAAAAGAAATCAATATTTATGGCAAATCTATTACATTCGATTCGCTTTCACTCACCAGCACCTGGGTTCAAGCCCTGGTCAAAGCAACATCGCAAAAAATTTAGAAAAAGGTTTTTCTTAACAGCGGTCGTCCCTCGGCAGGCAATGGCCACCCTCCGAGTGTATTTCTGCCATGAAAAACAGCTTCTCATAAAAATACAATCGCCGTTCGGAGTCGGCGTAAAACTGTAGGTCCCTCCGCTTTGTGTGACAATATCAAGGCGCACGCCACAAGTTGGAGGAGAAGCTCGGCCAAACACTAACATATGTGTAAGCGCCAATCTATTATTATTATTTATTATTATTACATTCGATAACTGCATTAATCGGTAATCGATAACAATAATAAGACTCATAGTGATCGGAGAATAAATAGATAATGTTAGGGAAATCGTTTGGGTATAGTAATAAGGATAACGATAGTTATGCCGATAACAGCGTCGATAATGATAAAAAATTTCAGTAACGGTAGTAAATCGATGAAAGTGTCATTATGATTAAAAATAAATATTCATAAATCGATAACGACAATTATCGGCAATTGATAACAATAATAATAATGAGTACCTAAAAAACCAAAGCCGATATTTTTTCGGATAAAACAAAAAAGAACCGATAACGACCATTGGCTATAACAAACCAATTTTTGTAGAAGCAATCGATGATTATAGAAACTCGATTGCTCTTATACGATCGCTTAAGCGATAACTTAAATTTTAAATGTCCGATACCAAAACGATAACAAAAACACTAACTTTGCCAAACTCATAGATAATATTTAACATCGATATCGATTAAAAACAACAAAAACAAAACATTTCAATTCTCCCCACAGAACTTACGAAACATTCCTCAACCGCTACAAGTCCCTCAGCAAAGCCACCTGGCCGAACTACAAAGGCTCGCCCAAGGAAGGTGTACGCGAACTCGTCGCCGATTTACAGTATGGTCCCGATGACTACCGTTTAGGTGCTACGAAAGTTTTCATACGCTTCCCCAAAACGCTCTTCGACACCGAGGATGCCTTCCAAGTGAAAAAACACGATATTGCTGCCATAATACAATCGCGTTGGAAGGGACGCCAACAGCGGAGGAAGTACCTGAAATTACGCGACCAAATCATCACATTACAATCATATTGCCGCCGATATCTGGCCATACAGGCACTACGGCGTCGTCGTGAAGCCGCCACTAAGATACGCGCCTTTATCAAGGGTTTCATCACACGCAACGATGCACCGAATGGCTACAATGATGAATTCATTGTAAACATGAAACGCATGTGGCTTATACGCCTGTCCAAGCAGCTACCAACCGAAGTATTGGACAAGAGTTGGCCCTCGTCCCCGGTACACTGTCAGGAAGCATCTACCTACCTTCATCGCTTGCACCGCCTGCATTTGGCGCGCAAATACCGGCTGAGTTTATCCGATGAACGCAAACGGCAATTCGAGTTGAAGGTGCTGGCCGAAAAGCTCTTCAAGGACAAGAAGGCCAACTATTTGGCCAGCGTGCCATATTGGTTCCAAAATGATCGTATACCTAAAGAGCATGCGGCCGAAATCAATAACTTCGTTGGCACTTCGCTGAACGGCGAGACTCTGAAATATGCATCGCCATGCACGAAATTCGATCGTCACGGTTACAAGCCGCGGGAACGTTTTGTGGTGCTTAGCAACAAGGCACTCTACGTGCTGGACGGCAAGAGCTACAAGCAGAAGCATCGTTTGCCGCTGGAAAAGATCGATTTTGTTACCACAAATCATAGCGACAGCCTGCTGGTCATACGCATACCACTCGAGCTGAAGAAAGATAAGGGCGATTTGATACTTGAGATACCTTACATCGTTGAGCTCGGCACGCTAGTCGTGGACACTGTCGGCACCGCCAACATACTTAGCATCGTCAGTCGAGACACGTGAGTATTTGGCGTTAATGTCTCTGAATACATATACATACTTATGTATGTACTACTATAATGTTATGCAATTTTTCAGTTTGGAACACAATGTAGTTAAAGGCAAGGCTGGCGTTATCGATATTCAAACCGGCGGCGAACCAGGCATCGTACGCGATAAGGGTGGTCACCTTGTTGTTGTGAGTTTGACTTGAAATACCAAAAAATCCTTACATTGTTTTAATTAACAACCATTAAAATTTTATAATTATTTTGTTTTGTATTCCATTTATTCCTTCGCAGATTGCTGGACAATAAATATGAGATAGAAGTGCTTACTACCTTTAACCAGAAATCAGGGCTTTAAAGACAACGGATGTATTTTTATATAAATATTTTGTTATACTTGTTATCTGAACTTTGCAGCAGATTATTTCGAGAATTTATAAAAACCAATGTAACTACCCTGCAAACCAAAATTCCCAAAATGTTAACGAAATCTTTAGGAGTATCTCATATCTTTAAGGATTTTTTTACGAATCTTCAAAGAAAGTTATATGGAGTGGTTGACACGAACTCGTCAAAAAATTTCTGTACGAAAAAATAAGAAAACAATGCTGCGACAGATTCTTCACATTGCAGAATTATTTTCATTGTTTTACCGATTTTCTTCCGAAATTTCTCTACAACTCAGAATACTCTGAAAAAATGGTTTGCGGGGTATATACTTCTACAAAAAAAAAAATCTTATTGTATTGTATGTATGTATTAATGTATGCAAAAAGTATTTACTAAAAAGCTATAATTTATTTCATATAATAAATAAATGATTGTACTATAATAAATACATTTAGGGTGGATCATTCTTCATACAAAAAAAAATCGGATAAACATTAGGCGGAAAAATATGAGTTGGACCATTTTAGAATTCTCGCAAAATCAAGTTTTTTGTAAATAAAATTAGTTTTTAAAATCAACGAGATTTTTGAGTTTATTTTTGATCGTTCCAGCACGTGTGAGTCTTAATATTTTTACGAAATATGCATTTTGGCCGCAGTCTTATACAATAAATACATTTTATAATTTTGGTGAAAAAAAAACATATGCTTTTTCGGTGTTTCACCCTAATGCATCTATTTTTTAATATATCAATCTTTAGCCAAAAATTTTTGGATAAAAACTGCAATTTTAAATGTAAATCATCTCGAAATCTCCTGGAGTCGGGTCTCTCTGCTCTAAATCTTGCGCTAGGCAGGCTGGTGTAGATTTCCAAGCCATCGTATTATAGTAGATGCTGGCTGTGATTAGAAATACAAAATCCCTGAGCAAATTATAATTTGAGGTTATCTGGTTATGTGGTTATGTTGTCAACTCACTGTTAGGTGCAGTTGTATGTTCTTTAGCGCCGGGAACTGCTTAGATGGCATGAAGTTGTGCCATAAACGAACCTGTCACATTTCTTAACTTCTACACTGGATCTATAATTCAATAAATACGTACATAGTTTACTTGATGGAATCCCTTTATGCCAGTGCCACTTTCTCTTCATTCCTGAGCTCATCTTGCATGAATAGCTGTGTTCTGGCATTTTTACAGATTTTTTCTGCTGCGTATCGCTCGTCCTTGCCGTCCACACTGGCGCTGCATAGCGATTTCCTTGTAGGTTGCGAGCAGGGTCTCCTTTTCGGCTCCCAGGTTCTGCAGGCGACTTGAGACCTTTTTTTTCCTGGCACGTAGTTCGTTGCAGCTGCCTGAGGCGTGCGCGGAGAAGAATAACAGGCTAACGAACGTCACTCCCAGCATTTCGGGGTGAATGGTCAGCGGGATTTTGGCGTCTTCGACAAAGACGTCTACCTCGAGCCTGATCTCCTTGGTCTATGTTTGAAAGAGTGGTGGTAGATTTTGAGGTTCCTTGCAGTGAAGAAGGTCGAAAGATCGGTGAGATAGTTGTCGCAATAGATGTTCGCAAAGGTTGTCGATGTTTGGGCCCGTCACCATTATTATGCAATCATCGGCGTAGCTTACCAAGCTGACGGCGGAGGGAATTTTACCATGTAGAGATTAAACAGTGTCGAGGAGGGTACGCTGAGAGACCCCCTGTTAATTCCATGTGGCTTGGACTTGGCGTTCGACTGATGATTGGCGACCACACAGATAGCTGGTTATCTACCATTTCGTCCAAGCTGGAAACGACAAATCCAAGACGTCTTGACAGAGGGTCGCGTGGTTCCCCAAATTTCGAATGCCTTCGACAAATCAATTGCGACTATGACCGTCCTATCACAAGGTCGACGTTGGTTCATAACCACGCTAACTTGTATGGTGATGGCGTTAAATGCTATGGTTGTGAAAAAAATTTTCGGCAATTTGTGTTCGACTAGCGTGAAATTTTTCGTCGTGGTGGGGAGGGGTAGCGCTTCCATAGGTTTAGTCGCTGGGGATAGGAGGGAGATGGCTCTGTAAGAGTCTGCTGCGTCCGCTCCTTCGCTTATGATGGGGAATCATGCCACCTATTTTCCACATCTCGAGGATGATAAGGGTGACATGTTGAAAGCCGCGGCGATGTACTTGACTCCCGCAGCTCCTCAGCATCTTTTTCAGCATCAGCGTGGAGATTCCGTCTGGGCCTAGTACCTTGGATGATTCAGCCTTGTTGACAGCTGTCTGCTTCTCTTCTGAAGTGGAGTTCGTATGATTTACGCAACACACTGCGACTGGTTTTGTCTCTCTCTGGGTGTACAATGAATTGCCGGCTGAACAAGCGCGCGAACGACCATGAATTCGACGTTTTGGTGGTGCCAGCCAGGTAAGGGCAACATTGTCCGATTAGAGAGAGACTTGGCTGTGGTCCATAGTTTGTTTGTTATTCCGCTGGAGAGATTGCCGGTCTTGAAATGCTAATTCCATATTTTCCGATTGGGTCCGTTGTCCAGGTTTCTAATGTCCCTATTAAAATCTGTGGTATAGGTATCCCCTGGTCTAGCCTGGTGGATTCGCTCACGCACGTCTGAGAGTCCCGCCGCTACTGTGGGAAAGCCTGGGCGGATGTAGCAATCTCTGCCGGCTGGTATGAAGCGGGCGTATGCTGCGTTAATGATCCTGCGGATATTGCGCCCGGCATTGGAAGCGGAAGAGCATGGAATTCGCGATCGGTAATTTCCGTGAAACCGTCCCAGTTTGCGTACGGTTTGCAGTACGGTTTTTGGATGTTATAAAATCCCTCGCCTGGTCTATCGCGCCTACAATGGGAGCGCGGTCTGATGCGCCCCGCCGGCTATTGTTATTTCTGGCGAATTGTAGCAGTCACCCGCAACCCTGGTCGACGCATCACCATTCTCAGTGTAGAACGTGGAGTCATGGAACTATTTCTGCACGTTTTCTGCACGTGAGTCATTCGCAATCGTATGCTGCGAATGCCGCATTATACTAAAGCCAGCCTTTGGACATAAACTACTGTTCCATACGAACACAGATATGTATGATAGAAACTTTCCTTTACGTTATGTGCGCGGTGGGCGGAGCGGGAGGGGGCACACTCCTCTTATACCCCAGTTTAGAGAGGTCATGAGTCGCCGTTTACAGAAATGCACTGCCTTACAAAAATGAGAAAAAATCTAGATTTACGCTTGTTTTGAGTAGATACAGGCACTTTGAGCTTTCCGTATTACCGGAGAAGGGCCCCCCTCTTATACCATTTCCTTTTGCGGAGGCGGTCTTCAGCCGCGCCTAGGGATTAAACCCTTACTAAGTAGAATTCTCCTTTCTGTGTTGCCGGAAAAGAGGGGCNCCACAAGTGCCAAAAATGTGTCAACCCGTGCCAAAAGTGCCCAGAGCGTGAGGAACGCAAAAAACCACTATTCGTTATATAGCTAATAAAATTAGAAAATGCCTACATTTCTGAACCTTTAGTGCTATTTTACAAAATTTGCTATCGGATGTAAACCGGAGTTGGGGGTAGTGCACTAAATTTTGAGTGCACTAGGCATTTCACTAGCAGTAAAAATATTGGGTGACATTGGGGCGAATTCTTGTTTTCGTTCGAATCGAAAATCATGACATTTTCCTATCATTTAGTATTCAAAAATTTACAATTTTCGATTGGAACGAAAACAAGAACATCTTCTTATTTGGACCTACAACTGTTTGTCGGTTTGGGCCGAGACCAAAAAGCTTCTCCAGTTGCTTCTCTCCNGATTGTCGAATCGAAAATCATGACATTTTCCTATCATTTAGTATTCAAAAATTTACAATTTTCGANCGGCCGTAAAGAAAAGCCGCCCCGAAACTTTTGAAAATTATTTATTGAAACAAACGATATTAGTATATCCACCAAAAAAAACTAAAAAAAAATACTCCCTCACCTAGCCATATACGGGCTGTTTCGGTAATTATAGCGTAAAAATAAGTTATATTAGGTTCACATATAAGTAGATTATCCTCATTTTCGAGCTTAACACCCTAATCTGTAATTATAACAAGAGATTAGCCATATAAAATTCGTCCCTTGTTAATCTGTAATTATAAAATAATCTCAGATTTAACCGATAACTTTTCGGTGTCCATCCTAGTTTTATCGATTGTTTTAACGCAATGGAAGACCAAGTGCAGAAGGACTTGTCTGCGCTCGGGATAACCAACTGGCGCAAATTCGCGCAGGAGAGAAGCAACTGGAGAAGCTTTTTGGTCTCGGCCCAAACCGACAAACAGTTGTAGGTCCAAATAAGAAGATGTTCTTGTTTTCGTTCCAATCGAAAATTGTAAATTTTTGAATACTAAATGATAGGAAAATGTCATGATTTTCGATTCGAACGAAAACAAGAATTCGCCCCAATGTCACCCAATATTTTTACTGCTAGTGAAATGCCTAGTGCACTCAAAATTTAGTGCACTACCCCCAACTCCGGTTTACATCCGATAGCAAATTTTGTAAAATAGCACTAAAGGTTCAGAAATGTAGGCATTTTCTAATTTTATTAGCTATATAACGAATAGTGGTTTTTTGCGTTCCTCACGCTCTGGGCACTTTTGGCACGGGTTGACACATTTTTGGCACTTGTGGGAGAGTAAAACTATGTTCACATATCAATATTATCTCAATCAAAGCTCGTTTTTTAATCACCCCGTTTACACAGGCAAATCTCAGATTATTAGCCGTCAAATTTGTTGTGCTTGTTATTCTCACATCTCAAGGAAAATTTATGTTTCTTCTCTGTGCCACCGTGATCACGTTTTTCTGCAATAATAAGCAATATAAATATATTTTAACTTAACATTTTATTAAAAATACCTTTACAAACCTCTTTTACTTGCTAGCGTACATTTTTGTTTGCTTTTACATTTTGGCATTTCTCCTCTCTTTCGCAAAAACAATCGATAAAACTAGGTTGGACACCGAAAAGTTATCGGTTAAATCTGAGATTATTTTATAATTACAGATTAACAAGGGACGAAT